ACTGAGCCACCCAGGCGCCCGAGATATTTTAAATACCTATTAACTGCTTTTATAATGAATGTGGTTGGGGGTGAGACAGAGTTTGTTTTTCTTATTTATGTATTTCAAAATCCTGGCTCCATAACTTAGCTGAATCTGTGTAACTCTGAACAGATTATATAACCATTCTCTACCTCAGTTTTATCATCTTTAAAATCGAATAATAATAGTATATCCTAAGGTTGTGAGGATCAAATTAATACAAATAAAGTGCTTTGAATAGTACTTGGCACATAGTAAATGCTCAATAAATATTAGCTAATATTATTATTTTAATCAAACTTCAGCCTTGTCTCCCAATATGTCCTCCCTTACCTGATACTATGTCATTACCTCATGTCACTTGGCTCTCTTCCCCAGGATTCTATTACGACCTCCCAATCCCCAATTCCATTCCAGCTGAAGCATTACTTTCTTTTTGTCAAGTCAACTTTTTGAAATCTTCTGCTATTTCCAGGTGCAACCTCTGTTTCCATGACTTTTTTTTTTTTAATGTTGAGGTACTTATCTCAATCTGATTTAAATTATATGTAGTTATGGTTCATTTTCCCCCAACAGTTTATGAACTCCTTGAAGGTGGAAATTGTTCCTATATGTCCCTAAATATCCAGGGCTTGTTAAACAGTATGTGTTCAATAGGCATTTGTTGAATTTACTGACTTAATTTTTTATTTAAATAGATCCCTGTTAGGCCAGATAAGAGTTGGCTTCTTCTTTTTTTTTTTTAATTTATTTATTTATTTGAGAGAGCGAGAATGAGAGAGAGAGAGAGTACATGAGAGGGGGGAGGGTCAGAGGGAGAAGCAGGCTCCCCACTGAGCAGGGAGCCCGATGCGGGACTCGATCCCGGGACTCCAGAATCATGACCTGAGCCGAAGGCAGTCGCCCAAACAACTGAGCCACCCAGGCGCCCAAGAGTTGGCTTCTTAAAAAAAGATCTACCTACATACTTTAATGAATATAATGAATATTCAGTTATAACTAATTTTCCCAGAATTTCACATTTAGAAATATATGGGAAAGAAGATGCTTAGAATGAAACTAAAGGGGGTGCCTGGGTGGCTCAGTCGTTAAGTGTCTGCCTTCGGCTCAGGTCATGGTCCCAGGGTCCTGGGATCGAGCCCCACATCGGGCTCCCTGCTCAGCAGGAGGCCTGCTTCTCCCTCTCCCACTCCCCCTGCTTGTGTTCCCTCTCTCAGTGTGTTTCCCTCTGTCAAATAAATAAATAAAATCTTAAAAAAAAAAAAAAGAATGAAACTAAAGCCTAAAGACTGACATGAAATTAAGTCTTTGCATTTATTTTTGTATTTATAAATATATTTATACATATCTTTTTTTATAATTTCAAGATTTGAACCTTAAACCACAGAGTGAGAGAATCCTTTTTCTCTTTTTTAAGATTTGATGGGAATGATGATGAAACATGACCTACCATCAGGCCCTTTGTGGATCAAACACAGCCCAAGCCAGGTACTTCTTTAAATGTTTTTTGTTTTGTTTTTTAGAGTGAGAGAGAGAGAGAGAGTAAGATCGGGGAGGAGCAGAGGGAGAAGGAGAGAGAATCTTAAGCAGGCTCTGCACTAAGCATGGAACCAGACATGGGGCTCCATCTCGCAACCCTGAGATCATGACCTGATCTCAGAGTCCAGTGCTTAAACGACTGAACTACCCAGGCATCCCAAGCCAGGTACTTCTTAAAGCCACCAGTGAGACTTGGAAATGGAACAGCAAATAGAGGGAGGGCATAGGATCAGGAATGAATTTGATCATCAGTGGAAAAACAAACTGTTGGTGTAAGTCTTCCATGATTTCTCTCTTCACGACGGTAGATACATTACAGAGAACACAAAGACATTGTCTAGGTTATATTTTGGGGAATAGATGGCTTGGAGGACATCTTTATTCCTGAAATCTGAGGAAAGAGATTGGTGCTGTGTTTGGAACTTTTTGAGGAGAAAAAAAGTTAAGTGAAGAGCAAATGTAAATTATGTTTCTCCACATGAAGAGGGCAAAAAAGGGTTAAAAACTTATGATGTAAAAGTGGGTATCATGCCAGAGTTAGACAATGATTTATACTGTACATACCAGAGAATGTATAAATCATTTTATTTGACAGGTGGTATTTTTATTTCTTCAGCAGACTTAGGAAGCTTTAGAATCATTACAGCTTTGTAAAGTAGTATTATAGACTGAGTCATTAGATCATTCATTTTGCCTGATTACATCAACTCATTGGGTTTTTGGGGAATGAAAGAAACTCATTATCAAAATTGTCATCTTGATTATATAGATTAAAGAAAATGGATCAAAGTTCTGAGAATTAGGTTTCACAAACTGTTAAAAAATTGGAAGTTAAAAAATTGATTGCAGAGCAGGAACGATTAGGGAAAAGTTTTGTCATTTAAAAAACTATCAGAGATTAAAGGAATGGTAATTTTGGTAGATATAAATAGTTGGAATCCAGGTGGAGTTTTAAAAAATGACTTTATTCAACT